AAAAGTGTAGCGAATACGAAAAACCTATTGACTAGAGTCCGCCATTTCACTTTCTGATGATATTTCATCGACGAACATTTCTAATGTTTAGGGCTTGGGTTGGGCCATTTCAAGCCCAAATTTAATTAGTGTAATTTTCTTTTTTCAACCGAACACAACAAAATTTAAAATTGAAGCTTTTTTTTATTTTATTTTTCCCCCATAAATTATTAATTTCACTCAATAACATTAGAACGTTGTTAATTTATAAAAAAAAAAAAAATTAGTTACATCAATAAATTAATACTGAAAAATTTAATGAATTATTGAGTGATTAGTTTATAGAGAGATTTGATTGTATTTGAATACCAAAAAGCTTGAATGGAACAACCATTAGTTGTGTTATTACGACTATGAATATTATAATTATACTTTTTTAAAGTGTTTTGGGTAAACTTGAAACAGTAAGGGGAAACTTAAAACACTACTTGGATCATTGGATGCAATTTCGATCAATATTTTCCTTTCATTTTGCTCTTTCACCATTCTTATACTTGTCTAAAATTGTCATATTTTCAAGTAAATTTATACAGTTAACTTGGACCTACTACGTTGTTATAATATATGGTCACTCTTAATTATATGATATGAGCAAAGAATTAATCACATTTATAAGCATGAGTTTAGTTGCTTCACACTTTTTGTTTGCATCTTCCAAAAACCCTTCTTTTCTACTTAAAAATAAAAAAAAAAACTTCCAATCAAACGTGGTTGCTTGCGTTTCAAGCTACTAACGAGGACTCTGGTATGACTCAGGAAACCATCTCTGAAGTAGCCTATGTTTTAGCCTCACCAACAATGCAAATGCTCCATAACATGGTAAATGCATCACTGCAACTGAGAAATACCTGTAAACATTAAATACAAAAACAAAATAAATGAGCCCTAAAATTACAGTAAAACAAAGAGATCAATTCAAACATAAATATCATGAAGTTTTGGAGTTACCATAGTGGAGCATAGTGTGATGATAAATCAAGGAATGGGTAAGGCCACCTGTTATTTTAAAAGTTGTGTTAAAGGAGAAAATTAAGAGTGATTAATCAATAATAATAATTATTGAGATTTGTAAGAAATGTTACCATATATGGACTAAAGGAGTGGAGAGTCCATTGGAATAAAACATAAGCTATTGTACAAAGCAAAGTATTAAAGTGGTAATAAATATAAATTTAGTTGGTGCATTATTGTGGAATTTTCTTAAAAAGCACTGGGCCTGGGCTGGGTTTTGTAGTTTTTATTTCTCGTACGTTAAAATTGAATATTTTTTAACAAAACAAAGTTTTCCTCAAAAAGTAAACAAGGATGTGGAGAGAGAGAATAATAGAAGTTTATCATTTTTGACAGAAAGTTTTCCATTTCAGCTACCAATACTTACTTTTACGATATCGTAACGTAGCATATAAGTAACAATTATTATATTTATATATTAACTTCTTCTGCAGGTAGCAGGATCAATAACATAAAGGTAAAAAAGACGAAAGCAGGGAAACCTATGGAACCTGGAGCTCAAGATCCCGGTAATCACAATATATTCATTTATATACATGATCCGTTGATGATTCAAAATTTTAATCCTATTAAAAAAACCTAACTTTTTAAATTTAAATTTCAACCGGTTTGATTATTAATTTTTTTAGTAGGTTGGAATATTCTGACGCCGAATGAGGTTGAGGTACTGAAGAAGGCGATGCCGCCGGATGAGCCCGAAGTCGTTGACGAATTGGACAAGGCGATGCGTGAGTTTTCCGTACTTATAAAATATTTCTTTCTATTTCATTCATAATAAAATAATAATATATTACTCAATCGATTTCA